AGTTCTGTGTTTGGTTGTTTCATGTCTTCATTTTTGCTCTGAGACTGCGGCATTTGAGTTGAGCCAAACCTATTCCAACCATCCTATTGATTTTAATTTGTCATTATACTCTGCTATTCAGCCAGAATGCATCTGTATCCCATTTGTAAAGTCCTGCTATTCAATGCTGAACAGTTTGGTCACAAAATCATGCTCTTTGAATTGTTAAGGCAATACCCTATAATTGAATATTGTGCAAAGTCTAATAGTTATCACAATACTTTCCCCTAAATATTTAACATCTCATCCTTCTGTTGCTTAGACTTAAGGCTAAAAGCACTAGAAGCATCACATTTCGGTTTATTTTGATTATTTTGTTCAGCCCTGTCACTATGTATGCTGATCTCAGAAGCCCTGGTATAAGTCTTCATGGTAATCTGCTCATCAGCTCTGTAGGTGATTTCTAGATGTATACAGGCTGTATAGATTCAGGGCTGTGGTTGATTGGTTTTGGGCACAAAGGAGGGGGGGTGTCATTGACATTTCTAGTGGCAGCGCAGAGATAAGGTCACCCTTAGTGCATTAGCACTGAGAAATTGACAATCAGCCTGACAAGTTGCAAATTGTTATCCTTCTTTAACATGCATAATGTCTGCAGCTGCAGTCACAACCACTTCACCCCGCCGCAGAGAAATGAGATGAAAAGAAGGTGTTAGAGTAGAAGTAGGGAATGAGTATGGCTGAGTGCAGTAAAAGATTATGACTGCAGTTATGCAGTTATGACTGAGAACTGCATGGGGAAAGTAACAGAAAGGGAGTGAGAGGGAAAGGAGACAGTGCATGTGCAGGACGGAGAGGGAGAAATTATGTGCTGACTCTGAGCATTTAAATTTGCTGAATTTACACAAATGAATTACCTCAGAGCTGCTGCAGTTTGATAATATGTCCTCTCTAACTGTGAGTCTGTTACTGTAGTGAAAGCCTGAAAATGTATAGACTTTTCAGACTCGACAAGCAAAAGCATGAAGGTTTTTGAAAGATGTAAGAGTGGTACATCTGTGGAACCTGTCTGCAGTATTTCAGCTTTTACCAGATTTCAGATTTTTTTTTTTTCAGATTTTTGTTGTTGTTGTTTTACAATCATTGCCAATACAAATTATTTTTATGTTTAGATTTTAAATTATTTTATTTCTGGTTTTTTTTTACACAATAAATAATTATTTGAGTACAATCATATAAAACATATGCATTAGACATATTTTATTATTCTATTTTTATTTATCATTATTATTAGTAGTAATAGTAGCATTTATTCCAGTATAATAAATATTTATATATATTATATTGCCTCCATTTTTGGAGGAAACTATATATAACCAAGAACTATTTTTTATTTGAGAGAGATTTTTATTTACAAGTGCATGGTACAGCGATGGATACTCCAATAGCACCAAATTATATGAATTTATTTATGGGTAAATTTGAACAAGATAATGTCTATAATAACAATCCATTTCAGTCAAATATTAAGGTCTGGATGCGATATATAGATGATTGTTTTATGATTTGGTCAGGTTCTGAACAGGAATTAGATTTATTTGTGTCGTTCATTAATTCAAAAATTCCATCAATTAAATTTACAATGGAAAAAAGTTATGATTCGATAATTTTTTTGGACGTTAAAGTAACAAAGATCTATGAGTCATTACATACAACAGTATTTCGAAAACCAACGGATAAAAAAACAAAATTATCCATTGACAGCTATCATCCAGCTCCCTTAAAACATAGTCTACCGATTAGTCAATTACATAGATTAAAACGTAATTGTAGTACTACACATGAATTTGATGAACAGGTAAAATTGCTATTTCAATGATTTCGTTCAAAAGGGTATCCACAAAGTTGGTTAAATAATGCATTAGATAAGGTTAACAAATTGAATAGACATGATCTTCTGAAAATAGATAAACCCATTAAAAAACAAAGAACATTTTCAGTAAATTGTTCATTGACATACAATGAGCATAGTAATACAATAAAATCAGTCATTTATAAATATTGGCATATATTATCATCTGATGAATCTCTAAATAATGCATTTCAATATCGCCCATTGTTCACTTTTAAAAGATCACAAAACCTATCAGATATGATGGTAAACTCAGATGTAGTAAGGAGAAAAAAGTCTGCTTATATACAAGGCTGTTTCACATGCAGAAACTGCCGGAATTTGGTGAAGTGTAAAGAGTTTATATGTCCAGTAACATGGAAATGTTTTAAAATTACATCTTGTATTACCTGTTCAACTCATAATGTGATCTACAGTATATGTTAAAATGTCCCTGTCAAAAGATATATATATAGGAAAATCATCACGTCAGTTGAAATTACGAATTAATGAACATAAATCTAGTATACGATGACAAGACATAACCTCTTCAGTAGCGAGACATTTTAATGAATTGGGACACGACATCAAGCAATTGGAATGTATAGGAATAGAGGAAGTTTTTGGGTCACGTAGAGGAGGTAATATAAATAAAGAACTATTGAAACGAGAAGCATTTTGGATTCATAAACTTAAATCACTGACCCCCCAAATGGCATGAATGAGGAATTAGATCTTTCTGTTTTCCTTTAATGAACTATAATTGGTCGAATTTGCAGTGTGAAAAACAATTATTGTTTATGACGATGTATTTCTGATGGTTTTAATTATAGAATTTTCCATTGTTATACAATTTTAAGTTAATAGGTGGAGTAGATATTGATGATTGTCTATTTAAACTGTTGGTTTGTATAATAGTGATAAATATGTGATCCTAGATCATTCTTGTTTTTAGTCACGTATATATTATTTGGTGTACTAGTGGATGTAATGTTTTGTGTTGGATATATACATGAAAATTGTCCGGTATTTAGATGGAAATTATTTAATGATTTAGTAATTGAACATTGGCTTAATGAATTAAGATGTCAAGATAATTCGTGATTTAAAAGTGGGTGGAGGGATTGAATTGCTTTGCACACTGAGAAAGGCTTTGAGCCGAAACGTTTGTGTCTTTTCCCATCAATGATGAATGTAAAATAAAACGAAAAAAGAAGACTGTTCTTGTGAGTGCGGATCATAATTTCCTATACTAAGAATGCTAAAAGAGACATCTTTTCGAGACTTCTTTTCTTGAACAGCTGTATGAATGAACATCCCGAAAACTGCATCGTCATCATCATTTCGTTTTCTTTAGAGCACATTAACAAAAAATATTGATGCTTAGTCTTCATCATCGTTATTATAAAAATATGCAGATAAGTTATCAGTCATGTGGCGAGCGGTCGGGCTGTATGACTGATGTATCCGTTTAATTTAACTTTACTCCAAATATATGAACTACCTGTTTAAATACTTTTATATTCAACGTGTTTGTTTATGTCTAATATTTAGTGTTAAACTGTTGGTCTTTAAAATAAATCTGTTTTTGATTTTCAGTTGACTGATTTTGCAGACCTTTTATACAGATAACTTCCATGCTCCGATGCAGCAAACTTGTCGCAGGACGTGCGGTCCTAATAGCGATGTATGACTGTTGAATCCGAATATATATAAACTAGCTGTTTTAAATATTTTTATATTTAACATGTTAGTTTAGCAGTATGTTTGAATGTATATTATTTTGATTATTGGTGCTTCCATAGGCTCTATCTGTCTCACGCACACGTGGTTTAAAACACCAAATAGTTATGAAATAGCCTATGACAAGTACAGAGAGTCTCTCTCTTGCCCCACCCACCCATGCAGGATATTATCTTGTATGGGCGATCTCACTGGCTGGCGATATGACGATATGAAAAATGACCATATCGCCCCACACTAATACCTGCATCATTGTGAACAGTCAGTTGACAAGTACCTGTGAGTGAGCATGTACAGAAACAATAACATCACATGTTATTCTAGCATATGCACATAACAACATCAATACCATTACATCGGCAAGGGCCTTCAAGTAACTGCATATTGAACAGCTAATTTGCTAACATGGCATGACTGTGATACATTCCCTCGAGTTTTACTTGAACTAATGCATCTCACCAAATATTAATTAAATCTGCCATCTCAGCATCTTTCCACTGATTCTGCTTGCTCCTCCCTCTGTTTTTAAGATTTTAGCAAGGCACTTACTGACACTGAATGATAATGACACGATAAAATTATGTGGTGATACTGTATGTTAAAAGAATGGGTGATTTCAGATCTGGCTGTGTAGTGTAGTTTCAAGGATCACATCTAGAGGCATGTCACATAAACGGAAAATCTAATTTAGGTCACTACCAACATATTGCCTGAATGG